TCTATGAACTGGATGGTTTGGTCGTGGAGCTTTCATCATTCTTCTGAACGACATCATCAGCACAAATCTTCAGGTGGAAGTCACCTGAAGAAGTCTACTTGATGATATCGTTCAGAAGAACGATGAATGCTTCACTACCGAACCATCCAGCTCAAAGAACAAAATTCCACACAAATTAATCCAACTGAGCTACAAATCTTCTTCACCATCTCAAAAACTCTGAATTGCAACTAGAGTAAAATATCATTAATAAAAGTGTAAAATATGAAATATCTGATAGGATTTGCTAAACTCATTCATTAGCTGTAGACACTTCTGAATAACTATATTTTGTCATTTAATCACGTCCACAATGAGATTGATTACTTATTTATATTCCTAAGATAGCCAAATGCAATGGTCTAAATATGGTGAATGTGTCGCTCAATTTTGTGGATTAGTTGAGGTCAGATATTACCACTGTTGGATGCCGGACGTGGTCTAGTGGTTAGGCGTCGGTGCGCGAGACCGATAGGTCCTGAGTTCGAATCTCGCGAGATGGGATCTCGGATGTGCACTGCTGAGGAGTTCCACAATGTGACGAAACGACCGTTCAGTGCTTCCGGGTTTTCCATGGTGGTCTAGCGTCGATTGACTCATTATCTCAACTATTGAAATGACTATAATATCTGCAAAAACCCCATTCGATGTTAATGTGTTTTTACGGCAAATTATCAAGATAATTAAGTCGACTGTAGGCAGAATCATTGAGTTATATAACCAATAAGGAATACCGATTATCCCATTCATTTTTACATTTATTTTAATGTTTCAACCTTTTTAAAAGAGTTACCTTCTTACTATAGATTCTATTTGTACTAGATAAGGAATTTAATGAGATGCGAGGAGATCACTTATCAACTAGTTACTAGTAGATTCCTTTTATATTGTCTGTTTGAATCTGCCCTTTGTTGTTTAAGACTTCAATTGATCAGTCTCTTATTAGCACATGTACATTCTATGCGGATTACTTCGATATTACCTTGAATCACACGAAGTTTCAATGAACAATACAAAATGAATTTAAACTTCATCCTATTGCACAAGCTAATGGCTATCTGAACTCACTAGCTAAATTGATAACGTGATGACATTTGTAGCGAACACTACTGGATTCAATGCATGAATTGAACATCAACTATGAAATACAAATACATTCAGCTGACGAGTCCCAATTAAGATGAAACACGCATCATGCATTCCACTGCTAGCCATCATCCATCTTTACGAATTATAGTTACTAGTCAAGTACCAATGAAATATATGTCTGTTATTCTCTAATTTAATATATAGCTATTCTTAAGTAATAATCAAGCTAATAGATCGATTAAATTATCTTTTTAAAAATGACACACATGATCTAATCAATTTATCTTCATTATTGTGATGAAATTTACTTATATTACTGAAAAGGGAATACAAGAATACAAACGTTTTATACTACTATTAAAATAGTATCCATTATCTACAGAGAGATACCTTTGACCTGATGCAATTGATTCAATCTTGAATGGATTCAACTTACTCATCACAATACATGGATTCATTTAACGAGGAAATGTTTTCTACAAACTCATTCACAATTAACAAAGGTTGTTTAGAAGAAGTAAGTTTCATATTCAATTTGTGCGAATATTAAAATTTCTTATGAATATATAAAGAATGAATATGAATTTTTAGTTTTCGAAGAAAGATTTTAATAGTTGAGATCATGAGTCAATTGAAACTAGACCACCATGGAAAACCTAGATGCACTGGACGTCCGTTTCGTCCTATTGTGGGACCCTTCAGCAGTGCCCATCCACGACCTCGCCTCGCGAAATTCGAACTCAGGACCTAACAGTCTCGCGCGCGATATCTAACTTCAATCAATCCACGAAATTCAGTGACACATCCACCAATGTCTTCAGTGAGTTACTATCTCACAACAGACCCGGTTGAACTCCACTGCTCACTGCTTCTCACCAGAACTCCAGGAAATATCTCTTGAAACCAGTCATTAATTATTATCTAAATAAGAATATGAATGACAGTGCGGAATGATTGAATTTAGATACATAGAATATTAAAATTCGACTTTATGATCCATTCTTAATGTGAAATTCTTGAATATAATATCTGATTAAGTCATTCATGTACACTGTTAAAATGTATCAAACTTGAACAAGTATTCAGCGTTGCATGATCTTTAACGGTTTCTCGACATAAACCTCTCAGAGCAAAATGATATGAGAAAAAATAATACCTGTGTATAAGGAATAAAGAAGTAGAAAGAGTAAGAAAAAATTTGGATAAGCCTTGAATACAGTTACCGTTATAACTTTTAGTTATGAACTATGTGATGTTCGAATAATGAGATATCTAAAGTCTTACCCAATAAGTTGAAATTCTTTTTGTAGGGCTCAGTTCATCAATCAGTAATGGTATAGATTACATTCTGCTAGGAATTAGAAGTAACCATCATTTACCATTAACCAACCTAAACCTTGCATGTAACTTGGTAACTAGATAATCTATATTTCATAACTTTACACACAGACTCTGTTATTGAATTTAATATCAATATCAAAACGTTGATTCATCATCATTGAGTCCACTCTTAAAATCACAACCGTTATATCTTGAGCTTAGTTTCTTATTATATCACGTACAATTTGAGCAGTCGAACGCTAAAACCCTCCTAAGTCGCAAGTTAGAACATAAAAGACAAGTAAAATAAATGTTATTCCAAACAGCATCAATTATGGTATAAAATTGTCAGGTATTTATAGTTTCTAGTGAAGACGAAATCATCATTATAGCTCTTAAATGTGCATTACACAGGGTTGTGAACCTCGAACAATTTCAATTTCAACTTGACATTATCTTCTCAGTTTACGTGGTCGATGAACTACACATATACTAATATTATGAAGTGATTTTTCGCCATACATCACATTCTTTCCTATACATCTTTTTTAATAGCTAAGAGAATTCCAAGCTGCCAAGGCTAACAAACAGTCAAATGAATCATATGTCAACGAAGCTCATGGTTTCAACGTTTCGGGGACTGGTGGCTATCAAGTAAGTAATGGGAAAGGTTTTAATTCAGACCGTGATTCGTTTCTAAAGATCAGTTACTGAAAAGCTTTAGAGTTGAGATGCATATCCTCTAAGGCTCACTGAGAAATAGTTATCTTCGGCTTCAATGTATTTCATCATCCTGTGTAAATGTAAACGCATCAATTCACTTGTATAGTTGACCTTTTCAAGTATAATCCCATCTACAAATGTGTAGCTACACTTGTTATCATCCGTAGACGAATGAATAAAATTGTTTTTACAATAGGTAAACTTTGTCAAAATCTGACATGGCTCTAAACCTTTGCTTTCAAGTTTGGAACTTTGTTGACAGGTAGCTAAAGCGACTTGATTAACAAAATCAAATTGGGGTATGATTTTCAACTAACTGGTGGTGTTTTACGCTTGGCCCTGTGTCACGTTTTCAGTTGGTTTGTTTTCATATAGCGTTGATATATTGGGTAAAAGTAGATGAAGCCAAAAAATAATCTCTATGTGAAATGTTTAGTAACTTCTAGCTTCTGCATAAAGTCATTAAGTTCACTAAAAGTTGTGCATCTAAGGTCATTAATTATAGTTTATGTCTAAATTTCTTTTTTTTTGAGTTATTATTTATCCTAAATACTACCTTGATTCGTTTGATTTTTCTTTTCCAGACCAACTTTTTATCACAAAACGAAGATAATCACTGCATGTAAGCATATTTCAGTACTCATTTGTTTGGGTGCATATTCTTCCAATGAATTCGGTTTCTACAGATTATCCGTTGATAATTGTTAGTCCATTCAACTTGAGCAGAAGCAAAAATACCAACACGGATTTAATTTATCAAATGTAAATATCAGTGAAAATTATGCGAATGCTTCGATATATTAACCACAATCTCAATCGAGTGTGACAGTACCACAGAATAATGATAATGCAGTTATATCACTTGCTGAAAATTTTAATAATTCTACTCATTATAACCATCCTCCACGGCTTCAATCTCTTCCTAATAATAATAATGATAATAATGATAATTATTCCGTTTCTTATGGTGAAAATGGTCAATGTGTTTTACGTGATTTGACAATTCATTCGAATCTCACTGATAAACATCAGTTTGTTGTTTTGTCTCCTACCTCATTGTCATCTGCATTTGAAATACCTAATGGAAACGCAAATCAAACTTTACCAATGACTGACAATACAAAGCTTATCGCTTTGTATTTAATCTTATGCAAACTATAATGTTTAAAGCATATTTGATCATACATCCAATGTCCCATAGCATTAAGAAAAATACTGTTCTCTGGGATCGTTGAAGAAGGATGAACCTGGGAAGATTATGGACATCTTGAATGGCTTGAAAACCGACATTTCAGGCAGAGTGAAGGTACACAACCACCCTCCATTGTTCCGTTCAAACAATGAGGTCAGGTGGAGTTACCTAATCTCTCCATTTCTCTTCAACTTTGCCACTGACTGCATCCTAGAAACAGCTTTGACTGAATTAGGTGATGGTGATGTGAATTTGTTATCTGCAGAAAACCTTTTCGACCCTGAGTATGTAGGTGATCTCGTTTTACGTTGCAATGGTGCTCGAGACAAGTATTTCACACTTAATCAGTTGGCGATGACTATTCGTAGGTATACCATATGCTTTGTACCTTAAATTACTTTTACAAGACTGTCAGGAGCCTGTGTCTGCAGTCACTTTTAATAGTGAGGATTTGAAAGTGGTTGTGTATTTGGGTAGCTGTGTTAGTGCTAATAGTGGCGTGACTGATGAGATCAGTTGATTTATAGTGAAAGCCAGAGTGTCTTATACCAATCTGGGCCATGTTTGGTGTCTTTGACTCGTTGACTGGGCCCTACAGATAATGCAACACGGTGTCTTGAGATGTCATTAGACATGTCTCAGAATAAAACTCAGTGGCGGTCCTATTGTAATTTCTTTTACTTTCTTCATATAAGCAAGGGAAATTCTTTACGGAGAGATGGATGGTGGCTAGCTGTGGAATCCAGGATATATGTTTCGCTGTATTTGGGACTCGTCGGGTGGATGTACGGAAATGGGTTAAAGTCCCGGCGTGAACAACAACTCTTGTATGCAAGTGCATCCAGCTGACGAGTTGCAAATAGGATGGAAGGTGTTTCCTAGATTTTAGTGATAGCCATCATCTAACTTTGTGTATAATGCTTGTTTTACCTTAACAAATTCACTTTTATGCATTCATATCTAGTGGAAAATAATTACCTTTACCTTTACCTTAAATTATGACACTGAGTAATTTCTTTGTATACAATCTTCTAAATGAAAGACCTACAGCTGCTACTGAGAAAGTTTTACAGTTAACCTGTCAGTTAGACTGCATATTAAAGACATCAGAACGTTTAACTAGTTCAATGCATACATCAGGCACTACTAGTCCAATAATGAATGAATTTACTTCGAACCATGGTTTACTAGAATCATTTGATTATCCTGAATCATGTCGACAATACTCTAATCAAACTGGTGAATCACATGATCAGTTGACAAAAGATTATTCACATTGTTCACCGAATTCTTTATTATCCGGAGAATCATCTCAAATGGCTATGATTCAAAATCATTTAACGCGAGAACTTGAAGTAAGTTACTGCTAATTCTGTAATACTCTCAATAAAGTAATCAGTTGTTTTTTTCTGTCTACAATTTTCATAAGGCGTCCGTTTGTTTGTTCATTTATTGGTCTGTTTATCTCACGATATTTATCATGTTTGGGTTGCATAGTTGTATGTAGTCTTGACAGCAGATAATGAAAAGAGAATGGCGATGGTTTTCTAACAGTTGTTCACTGAGTCATTCGATCAGTTGTGTAGAGAGTTATGAGAGGAGGAAAAGTGATTCTATATATTCCACAGATAATTACCATCTGAGTTAAGTTTTATGTAATATCCCTGAATAATCTCGGACATGTGTTATTTAGTCTGGAATTAACACACATTATTGAATTAACCTGCAATAAAGGTTCTGGTGGCCAAAAGAATTATTCTTAGTTTCAGTTTCTTGTATTTGTGACAGTAATTCATATCATCCTATTAACGTTGTCTTTTGCTTGGTTTCTAAAATTAAGTTGCAAATCAAAGTAAGCCATAGTTTTGAGCTTCATTAAAGTTAGTTTAACAGGTTTATTCTCCGTAATTTGTGACTTATATAAAACGTTTTCATAACTTAGTATGTTGTTATTATTCATCATATAAATCCACTGTCTGTTTAGGGAAGATGTGCTAGTAGGCGACATTTATTCGCTTGTACTAACCGGTACTATCCAGTTAAATTTGTTGAAGTATAGTATTATTAGAATTTCTTACTTAGTACCGATTTATTTAGTCGGCTTTAAGATACACTTTAGTTATGAGAGCTAGTGATCAAAACCGATGGGTTGTAGTTTGAGTCTGCTACTTACTGATTGAAATTCAAATACCTTAATCACTAAACCGTCGTTCTATGAAGAACTGAAAGGCTGAAAAGTGAGGCACCAATTCACAGTCCTATTTAGATCTTCTAAGCCATATTTAGTGTATTACAGTCTACTGGACTAGGAACTCGATTCTTTTTTGTTTATCCATTTGCTTAATTTATTCGTCTGCATAATTTTCAACTCATTTTCATAGGACTTCACAACTATAATACAAAACTCTGATAACTATATTTATCTATATATGTGTATGATAATTGTTGATTATTTGATACAATATAGTTGAAGATAATTGAAAAGAACCAAATGACATTGACTCTTTCTTTCTATATTTTACTTAGGAAATAAATGTTGAATTAGCTTCAATGTTAGAAAAGTGCAATCGAGCATATGAATGTCCAACAGTTAAAATGAACTTAATGAAAGATCAATATGAACGTCGATTAACTGATTTAAACAGTGAATGTACAAATTTACAAAATATTTCTCATAGAGATTTAAAGAAAACTAAAGAACAAGTTAGTGTTACTGTTCCGGAACTCTTTTCACTAACATTCTTGAATTTATCAGATATGTGTTATCAGTGAAAAATAAGTGAAAACTATGATTTTAGCAAAATAACTTTGCACACAGACTCAGTCACTGCATTTAATATCAATATCAAAACGTTGGTTCATCCATACTAAGTCTATGTTTAAGTAAACGTTGATTCATCATCTTTGAGTCCACTCTTAAAATCACTTCCGTTATATCTTGAGCTTAGTTTCTTATTATATCACGTACAATTTGAGCAGTCGAACGCTAAAACCCTCCTAAGTCGCAAGTTAGAACATAAAAGACAAGTAAAAGAAATGTAATTTCAAACAGCATCAATTATGGTACAAAAATGTCAGGTATTTATAGTTTCTAGTAAAAACGAAATCATCATTATAGCCCTTAAATGTGCATACACAGGGTTATTAGCATTTGTCCAATAGGGAAGCTACACATAGGGATTCTGAAATATTCTCCCAAAACATGATTGAATGGAGTATCTTCAGCTCTTTCTAAGCTTCTTATAGCTTCCTCGAGTTCACCCATGGGTCGTCGTCACAACTTCAAACAGCAATTTCTATCTGACACTTTTTAACCAATAAAACTTCAATGTTTCATTTATCAATTGTTTTTCAACAGAATTCACTTCATCATTATGATTTTTGGACATTGAATAATAGTTTACATTCACCATGGCCATCAATTGAAGTGGACCAACTAGCGAATTGGTTAATTGAGATGAAATCAATGATTTAAAAAAAATCACCTATTTTCCAAAAGTCAGTATGTACATTATCATATTCCTTTTCGTCCAACTCTTCATCATCATCATGTTGTTCTTCTTGTTCTTCTTGTTCTTGTTCTTCTTCTTCATCATCATCTTCAAAAGTTTTTGGACCTAATGAAGAACAGTTGAGTGGTAAAGGTAATAAGAGATCAAAATGTTGTTTACATGACCTTAGATATAAACATAAACTTCAAAATCAACAAAAAATGATCACTTTATCAAAGTTGAAAATGAATCCTGAACATTTCGTTATTATCGATTGTCGTTATCCACACGAATATAATGCTGGACATATTTTTAGTGCTATTAATTTATCAGATTGGCCAAAACTTTATAAATATTTTTTTGGTATAAAACAACAATCTATTGAAACTACTGAAATGGATTTAAGTAACTCATTATATTCAACGGAACAACTGATTGAACCAAAACCATCTCATACTATATTTATATTATATTGTGAATTTTCTACAAAACGTGCACCACAATTATTTTATCTTTTACGTAATCATGACAGACTATTACATTTCAATTCATATCCTGCATTAAAATATCCATTTGTTTATATATTACATGGTGGTTATTCAACTTTTTATAAAAAGTACCCATATTTATGTGAACCAGATCTTTTAAGTATTTGGCATAAACATTGTAAACTGGTTAATAGACAAACGATGAATCCTAATTCACAAGTATATTCTGATAAAAATCATAATGAAATGTTAAACACACACACGCGCATCAATCAATCAACGAATCGACACATTAAAGTACCATTCAAAAGTATTACCAATCTCTTTCACAAGAAGAAAAAATAGAAGAAAAAGATTTATTTCATTGAACCAAAACTTATTAACTTACTTATGTCCGTTACTCCTTATGGAAGAGTATAAGTCACCCAGCAACATTCTCAATGCAACCTTGTCTTGATGAATCTTTTCCAGTTCTTTTCAATTGTTATTCTTTTTTTTCATGTCTGTTTCCAAGTTCCGACATAGTGTATTCTTCGACCGTCTTCTTCTTCTTGTTGTATGTTTCCCTTCACGATTCCATGTTATCGCTTGTCTCATGATGTAGTTCGAATCCAGTTCAATACTATTTACTTGTTACTTATTTATTTCATAATTATTTCCATCTCATTTCTTCTATTCATAATGATTAATATAAGTAATATCGATTCAATTCATTTTGATTGAAAAGGTTTCTCTCAAACGAAATTCATTAAAATCGCAACCTTTTCAACATTGAATATGTTTCATTTAATTCAATCATTATTAATGTCTTTGTTTAAATATATTTTTCTTTTATTTTCATTGGTTGATTCACTAGAATTAAAAGAGAAAAGCTTGACAAATACAACTTAAAAATGAGTTTATATATAGAGAGACCGAAGGCCTTGGTTTTGAATCCCGCGAGCGGGATCGTGGATGTTTACTGTTAAGGAGTCCCATAATATGATGAAATGGACAGCCAGTGCTTCTAGGTTTTCAACAATGGTCGTGCACTGATTGATGTGAGACCATCACTGAAAATCCGAAAGCACTGGTTGACCGTTTCGTTCTGTTGTGGGACTCCTCAGAACTGCGTATTCAAGATCCAGCTCGCGGGAATCAAATCTAAGGCCTTTAGTCTCGCGCACCAATGCTTAAACTTCAGACCAGTGAGCAGGCATCCAACGGTGTCATTGTCTAACTTCGATCAATCCATGAAATTTTGCGACCATCTTCCATTGTACTGAGGTAGATACCTGTCTCTACCCCACAAGGATTAGCTCCACTGATCACGGCTTCTCACTGGAACTCCGGGAATTCCCACAATAGGACGAAACATCAAAACCATTTTCATGTTCAATATGTCATCGAGGCTTTCGTCAATCACGTTCATTAGAAAATCATAAACGTTCAAACCATCCAATTAAAAAAGATGAAACCGCTACAAAATTCAATGATAATCATTCGACTAGATTGATTTATACAACAGCTAATATTATTCCTATAAATGACATGAATACTACTACTACTACCACTACTACTACTACTACTACTCCTAATAATAATGATAATAATAATAATAGCACTAGTACTAGTATGAATATCTTTACTACAAATTGTGACGTGGTCAACATAATAAGAAATAATAAGACGGTATAAATACAATTTAAATAATGTATTCAACAATTGTTTTCATGGTTAATATTTTGGTTTGTTTTTGTTTGAATGAATGAACAAAATGAAAAGAAAAATATTTTATTCACTTTCTAATGAATGATTCATGTGTCATTTAATTCATTTCATTTTGATTTATTTTTCATTTCGTTTAAAGAAATAAATATATTTTATAAAAAGAAAAAGAAAATTAATTGTGGTTACTAAGCAAAGATGCATGGCAACTAACAGTGGGATCCAGGACGTGTGTTTCGTCCTAATTTGATACTCATCACTTGGTGTGAATAACAAATTTGAGATTTGGGCACATCCAGCTGATGAGTTTCAAGTAGGATGAAATGCGTCTTCTGGATTCTATTGTTAACCACTCTCTGTCTTAGTTCATAATGCTTGTGACTTAAGACAATATTGGGGCAATGCACACAGGATGCATATATGCCAATAAGAGATTGATCAACTACAGTCCTAAACATCAATGGGAAGATTGAAGTAAACGTTACCAAGTGAATTTAATATTAGTTAAATTTAATTTATCCTGGTACATCAACTGATGAGTCTCAAATAGAAGGAAACGCGCATCCCAGATTCCACTGCTAACCATTATGCATCCTTGCTTATAATATTTGTTAATTAAGGCATAATGATGATGACTACTGCGTGTAAACAATCTAGGCCATCTCAATC